AATCATATTTTTAAGTACATAAAATAAAATTCAAAGGATTACCAAGGAAACCAATTATTTTGATGTACAGTTATCAAAATACTTAAGAACAAACACAAACAAGGTCAACCTGGACCCTGCACCAGAGATGTGGTGGTTATCACCTAGTGGAGTATGGTACCTGCTGCTGGTCTTCTAAGACATAAAGGTTTTAGATGGTGTAAGGAAGCTTGATCTTGTCAGTGGACACTTCTGTTCCTACATTCCCCCCCACCCCAGTAAGTTGTATCCTACATCTCATGAACCCCTTGGTGGCTGCATTGATCTGGAACATGGGCTCAGCAGAACATCTAGAGGGAAAAGAGACATACAAAGCCTTATACATACAAAGACTTATAGACCTCTCAGGCACATTAAAAGATAGGGGCAAGCCAAGGGTACAGTATTTTCCTTTTTGTCTGATGGTGTGCCCACAGGACCAGAAGAAGGAGGTCATGTGACTCACTGTGATGTATTGCTGACTGGGCATCCAGAGCAGAACTAAATGAAATACTCTTCCTTTGCTACTGGTGGTTGGCACTAGATGAAGTCCTAGGATCTTTTCTACCCAGCGTACCACAAAATCCTGCCAGGAACCATGGAGCTGGCTGCAACTGTAGCTTGTTTCCCATCTACTCTTGGTTCTGGAGAGATTTTGTCTCCATGCTTGGATGATAAAGCCATTTCCATAGTGGTGGATCTCTTTTCACAAATGTGCCACTTAACTTTGCGTCCTGGATGCCCTCTTCATTCCACATAAGTTAGTATTTCCTAAAGGGGAAAAAAACCACAGTTATTCCTTCAGTCAGTCTGTGTGTCTGTGTGTGTGTGTGTGTGTGTGTGTGTGTGTGTGTGTGTGTGTGTGCATGTGCAACATAGGGACTTGATTATAAACAAGATTGGTCAGGAATGGTCTCTGTAGAAACCCCCTACACAGCTGACCTCATTGTCCAGAGATGGCACAAGAAAGGGCTCCTGTAACCACAGGAGGGGAGTCTACTATGAGCCGGGCACTGGCGATACAAAGAGGCAAAAGACAGTCCCTGTCCTCAAAAAGCTCACAGTCTAATGGAGGAGACAAGCAAACAAATACACACAAAAAAGTAATACACAGGATACACAGGAAATAACTAAGAGAGGGAAGGCATTAGAATTAAGAAGGGTTGGGAAAGGCTTAATGTGGAAGATGAGATTTTAATTGAGATTTAAAGGAAACATGAGGGAGGAAGGAAGAACATTCAAGGCATGGAAGACAGCTGAGGAGAATGCACAGAGCTGAGAGAAGGAATGTCTTGTTCATGTAAGAGCAACGAGGCCAATGTCACTGGAATAAATAACGTGTGGTGAGGAGTAAGATATAAGAAGACTAGAAAGGTCCCAGGGGGATAGGTTATTATGAAAGGGCTTTGAATACCAAACAGGGAATTTGGTATTTGATCCCGGAGGCAATAAGAGCCAATGAAATCTATTGAGTAGGGTAGTGACGTGGTTCAACCTCTGCTTCAGGAAAATCACTTTTGGTGACCGAATAGAGTATTGTTTGGAGTGAAGAAAGACTTGAGGCAGGAAGACCCACCAACAGGTTGTTGCTGTAGTCCGGGCATAAGGTGATGAGGGCCTGCAGCAGAGTATGGCAGGGTCAGAGGAGGGCAGGGGACATATTCTGGATATGCTGCAAAAGTGAAATTGACAGGCCTTGGCAATAGATTGGAAATGGTGCGGGGATGGGGGGAAGAGGTAGCAAGGAGTCTAGGATGACACAGGATCCTCAGGTTTGCCACCTATGTCACCCTAGACTCCTTGCTACCTTCCCACCCCCACACACACTATTTTCAATCTGTTGCCAAGGCTCGTCAAATTCCCTTTTGCAGTATATCCTGCTTTTCCCTAAACTGCTTTATAACTATGTTTTTGGTGGCAAAGAAGGAACCAACCAAGTAAGTCCCTGAATGTGTTTTAAGGTAGGAGAGACACAGGGTTTAGGAGAAAGATGATGAGTTCCATTTTGGATATGCTGAATTTAACATAGCCACTGGATGTCCGGTTCAAGATCTCTAAATGGCAGTGAATTGGGAGGTCAGCAGAGAGGTTGGGGCAGGATATGTGGTTCTGAGAATCCTCTACGTAGAGATAGTAATTAAATCCATGGGAGCTGATGAAGTAACCAAGTGATGCAGTAGAGAGGGAGAAGAGAAGGCTCAGTATAGAATCCTGTTGGACCCCTTCAGTTAGAAGGTATAATCTGGAAGAGGATCCAGCAAAGGAGACTGAGAAGGTGCAGTAGACAATGGAAGAACCAGGAGAAAGTGGTATTCTGAAAACTTAGAAGAGATTATCAAGGACAAGAGGGAGGTCAGCATGTCAAAAGTGCTGAAAAGTTGGGGAAAATGGGATTGGGAAAAGGCCATTGGTAATTTAAAGATCATTGGTAATATTGGAGAGAACAGTTTTGGTGGAATGATGAGGTCAGAAGCTGGATTGTTAGGAGTTAAGAATAAAGTGAGAGGAGAGAAAGTAGAGGCACCTATTGTAGAAAGTAGAGACAGCCTTTTGGGGGAGTTTAGCTAAAAGGTCAGAAGAGATATATAGGGTGATGGTTACAGAGGGATGGAAGGATTATGTGAGGAGTTTCTGAGGACGAGTGAGATATGGTCGTGTTTTATGGACAATAGGGAAGGAGCCAATAGACAGGAAGAGATTGAAAATAATATTGGGCATGACAGAGGGGAAAGTCTGTTGGAGGGGATGGGATGGAATGGGATCACTTGAGCAGGTAAAGAGTAAGGAGTAAGGCCACCTCATCACGTGAGACAGGGGTAGAAGAGGAGATGGTGGCAGTGGGCATAAGAGTGATATGAGACCATGAAGAGGGGAAAAGAGGAAGGTCATGGCAAGCAGCTTCATTTTTTTCTGTAAAATATAAGGCAAGGTTCTCAGCAGACAGGATGGGGAGGAGGTGAGCCATGGGAAGTTCAAGGAGTAATGAAAAGGTTTGGAAGGGCAGCTGTGGAGAATAGGTGAGTTGATAAGGGTGGTATAGTTTGATTGCCTAGTAGCCACTTGAGGTAATACAACATAAATTTGTAGTGGACCCATTCAGAATGGTTACATGATTTTCTCTGCCTTTTTTTCAGTAGCACCTGTGTAGGAATGAAGGCTGAGGAATGAACCAAAGCTGAGGCTTGGCAGAGTACAACTGGTGAAGTGAAAAGGGGGCTAGAGACTCAAGAAAAGGACATTGTAGGGTTGAACGGATCTACAACGGTTCAAGACAGGGAAAAGAGAGACAGTGACTAGTGCAGGGGAAATGGCCTGGGCGAGAACTGAGGGGTCAAAGGATTGGAGTTCAAGGTGTGGACAAAGAGTAAAGTTAGGTAAGTGAAGGCAGAGGGAAAGATGGAAAGCCAATAGATTATGGTCGGATAAAGAGATTTAGATTGTATTTAGATAAGGGCATTTCAGAGTTCTTGACCTTGGAAGTGGTATATTTGTGGGCGATGCCTTTTAGAAGATCTTAATTCCTTCAGAGCTTAGGTTAGATGCCATCTTCCCCATGAGGTCTTACCTGATCCACTCGAGGTTGTTTTGCTTCAACTCACCCCCATTACTGCATATTTATTTTGTTTATACTTATGTTATATAGGCCTATATATGTACACATCTCCTCCTATAGAATGTCAGCTTCTGGAGGTCAAGCGCTATTTCGCTTTTGGCTTTTTTCATTTTTCCTTTTCACTGTGCAGCACAGTGCCGTGGCCAAAGTCAGTGCTAATAAATTCCTATTAATTGATTGGTACAAAGGAAATGCAACACATGGTAGTTAGATATTCACTGGCCAGAACCCGAAGATCTGAATCTGGTGGTCTGAGAATGTTCAGCACACCAGCTGACTTGCTATGCTTAGAGAGACACTGGCCTTGGCTAGTGTGGGAACGCATTGTTTCCTCTGAGTTGGCTTTACCCACTGCACAGTTTTCTTGTCTTCACTTAAAAAGGATGATTTAAGTAGGGTTAATAGTAGTTTAGTTATAGGGAGAGAAAGGATAGAAAACACAAGATGTGTAATGACTGAGAAGTAGAAATTAAGGTAGAGATAGAAATGAAATAACTGAAGTTGAATGGAGAAGAAATAGGGGAATTAGGGATGGAATGGAACTAGAAATTCAGGGTTAAAAGGGCTCATCATGCTTGGGCTTATGTTAGGAGGAAGCCTGCAGGTATTTCAAGTGTATCACCTGGATACTCTCAAGCTTGCCCATAACTGGCTCTTATTTATCCATCTCAGTCAGTTTCAACATAGATAAAAACCATGATATTCACAGGCAGCACTGTATTTTCAGACATAGAGCTATATTATCATTCACTTAGATTTTTTCCCCATAAAACATATTCAGGTACTTATCTGGCTGGTTCCTTCTCAGTGTCACTTTCTTCTTTGCCACCAAAAGCATAGTTATAAAGCAGTTTAGGTAAAAACAGGCAAAGGTCAAGTGTCACCATCTTGTTCAAAAATTCTTTATTTCATAAAAGCAAATTATGTTGAATTTTCCATAAAGTGCAACCAGCAAACATTCTTGTGATAGCTTCTTGGTGAATGCATCACTGTCTCTGATTTGCACTTGCCTTGCCATGTAGGCCTCCTTTTGTTTCTGCTTGACAGTAGCAACTGTTCCAGCCCTTGTCTGATTATGTGGGACGCCTTCATTTAATGGGAGCAGCTTCTTTGCTGCCTCCTTTTTTTTTTTATAGGCAAGGAAGCCTCTTACTGGGGATCTTTGTTGGAGACAAAGCATTATTTATACTAAAGAAAAATGTATTCCCCTTTGAATGAGCCCGTGGGAAGCATAACAAGGTCATTAGTTATGCTCAGTTTGTACCCTGGCTTCTGCTTATAGTCGAGAGTAGCAAAGATGACATCAAAAAGGGACATTCTGCTGTTGCTGGCATTTCATGCAAGGAGAATGTCATGCAGCTTGGGTGTCTTCAGCTGGGTTCAATTCGGGTTCAGTAATTTAGCTGACTTTTATGAATCGCTTTGGTATCATAAGAAAGTAATTTATCTTGAAAGTAAAATAGATGTCAATTGCAAGGTACATAAGGTATGTCTTTTGTCCCGGGAAGCTGTGACAGAAGAAAATACATCTTTACCCTTGAAAGTGACATCATTGTAATTGATTTATCGTAATTACTTTGTACTTCTCAGTATGAAGTGTTTTGTTGGTGTTGGGGTACAAAGAGCTTTTATAATGAAATCCTGAATATGGACCAGATAATTAGACTGCTTAGAATCAGTCAGAGATTCTAGTGACCTCCCGGATCAACAACACAGAAGTAAGTACACCAAATGGTTCTGAATGTGAAGAAAATGACTTTTTCCTGAACTTACAAGGGAATTTTATATTAAGTTGAGAAATCATCTTTAGAATTTCACCAAAGTATTTCTAAGGGAATCATGGTTGTGGTTGAAATTCCTAGTTGGGTCTTAGGGTTAAGAAATAGACAAATATATCTAGGTGATTTCCTTGTGGGTGTTAGGTACCTATATTGTTGAATTAAATGCATATCTGTTTAAAAGCTGTTGTGTTTTTCATTGTAATAGTTTACTTGTTAAATCTTTAGATACTCAGAGAAGTTAGTTCCATTATAAACATCCATTTTGCATGAGCAAAATTTTGGTTTAATGACAAAAGTTGAGGATTTTTCGTTTTGCTATGTTGCTCCATGGCAGAGGAAGATTATGATGCTACATTCTGAGAAATTGTCTGTTTATACTATGGCATATAGCTTGTAAATTTCTAAAAATATGATGTAGACTAGATAAAGATAAAGCACAGTTTCAGAATTAATTACTATAATCTAACATACTTTCTGTAAAGAAACATAAATGTAAGGGAATCTTTGAAAAAAGGGAATACTGTTATGACATTTCAACCAAATGCTACCAGAGCTTCTCTGAACCTGCTGGCAAAAATCATATATTATGCAAGCATTTTTCTATTTTCCATCTTTCAGAAAAGAGAAACAGATTAGCTAGATTAGCATTATGTCTATTTGGAAATAGCATTCTTTATTTGAAGGCAGAAGATCTGAGTGTGAATTTTTACTAGTAGTAGGCATGACCTGGGATTAACTCACCTAACCTCATTTTAGTTTATTGACAGTTTCTTCATCTGTAAAGTGAGTGACTTTGAGTTGGTGATCTCTTAATGTCCTTTTCACTTCTTAATATTGTGATTTTGTTTTTCCTCTTTTGACCAACTAATTCCTTCGCAGGGAAGAAAAGTCTTTTTTGGCCAATCAATTCACTGAAGCAGGTTCCTAAGCTGTAATCTTGCATTAATTTTGTTTGGGTAAAATGGGGAGAAAATCTAATACCTTTTTGTATTTCCCTTTTTCTGTCTTCTTTCAGGAAAAGAATTTAATTTCAGTATAGATGACCATGCAGCATGCAGTTCAAGTAAGTAATCTATGTTTACCCAAAGATACAATTGCAGTTAAATTCTGGGCATAATGCAAATTGAAGTATAAAATTAAGTCTCTTTCAAATAATTTCTGAAATTCTTCAGTTTTGGTAACTAGTTTTTAAAGTTGTTTTTTAATACTAGTGATACTGTGTGGTTTTCTGGGTTTGTCTTGTGGGTGGTTTTTAAATTTTGTTTTTATTTTCTGCCAAAAATGGTTTCTGCAAGTTTCAAAAAATAGCCCAAGGTTAATAGAATTAGCTCACTTACACTAGCCCAGCAAAAGATGGATATAGTCTTCAATTTTTTTTCACTACCCATTCATATATAAAAGTTGAATTGATTTTTTTCATTCTGTGGGAAGTAGGAACAAATATTAGGATTATTGATCTAGAACTGAAAGGAACCTCAAAGGCTACTTAGTGCAGCCTCTCGTTTTATGGAGGAGACAGGTGCAGGCTAGAGGGGAAGTGACTTGCCCAGGAATACACAGAGGGTGGCCATCACAAGTAGCATTTGGACCTAAGTCCGGACTGGAGAGCCAGCACTCTTTCAGCAACACCACACAGTGGAGAGAACTACTTAAAAAAATCAGGAATATAAAAAATACACACATGGAGAGAATTAATGGGGGGTGGGACAGGATGATGAAAAATGTCCAGTTTGGTTGGCATTCAAAGTTGGGGTTTCTATAGTTATTTTTAAACCCAAACAAGACATATTCTTTCCCATGGTGTAAGTAACACAGAAAAATATTAGGTCTTAGATAAAAACACTTCAGAGCTCCTCTTGGAACTGTCAGACAAGGCTTAGCTGCTATTAAAGCTTCGCCATCTCCAAGGTGGAGTTAAATTTCTTTCCTCTTTGATGGCCATAATAACAGCAATAATTCCTATCATTTATTGAGTGTTTTAAGGTTTGCAGAGCACTTTATGTATATGCTGTACCGAAAGTATCCAAAAGTGGAGATTTGTCTTGTGTAAATAAAGCTTTCATTATATTTTAAGAAGACATAAAAGCTTTTATTTTAAGATTATAACAAGAAAGACAAGGTTTCTTGTTTTTGTTTTGTAACGGCAAGTTTATATCTGATACAGTTGTTTGGTCCTAAGTGCAAGCCCTGCACCTTTGCTCCCATTTTTCCTTCCCTATCATGTGGAGCTACCACTTCTTTAATAGTTAAAATCCCTATGGTCCTGTTTTCCAGCCAGTGCTTGGAAATTAATGACAATCTTTCAGAGTCCTTAGTCTTGATTTCCCCTTGCTATCTTATCTCCCTTTCACTGTCATGCTCACTTTTTAAAGCTCTTATTTATTCTGTAACTGACCTGATCAATGCCTCCTAGCCCATTCTATCAAGTTTCAGGAATTTGCCATTTCAATTAATTCTCAGCTCTGTTTTCATTTGATTCTTTTCTCCTCATCACTTCACTGAAATTGTTCTTATATATAACTCCAATCACTTCTCATCCAAGTGTAATGATCCTTTCTTAATTTTCAGTTTTCTCTGTTGCTTTTCTCATAATCTTATGCTCCCCTTTTCCTCAAAGCTGACCTTAATTTCCATAGACCCAGTGCTTCTCTCAAAGCTCCCTTAGGTGTGTCCCTTGGAAGAACCTTCTGGGAATGCATTTTCCTAAGGTTTTCTTCTTCTTTTTTTTGTCACTTTTTCTACTGGATGCATTTGATTACTTGATCTCTTCATGATTTTTTCTATAAACATACAACCAATTTTTGTGGTTGATTTTCAGCTATGAAATTATATTGAGATTATTCTTTCCACTTTTCTCTTATTTCAGCTGTGTGTGATAATCTGTAAAAGTCTGAGAGCTAGACAACACACATAGCCTTTAAACATACATTTTTCATTGATAATATTACGTGTTTTAGAAATATTAGCATCCTGCTACATAGTCTAGATAATTCTAAAGGCAGGACGTTGTGTTTTGTTTGTAATCCTAGGATTGACTTAAGAGACATCTTTCTATAATATGATGAAAACCAGAAATTTACTTTGCTGAAGTTTAGTCTATCTTCTCTTATTTTCACAAATGCATTATGAAGTCAGTTATGTCAAGAACCTATGGTTTCATGGATGTGAGTACTGCACCAAAGCAGATTACAACCCTTTTTAAAATTTATAGCTGGAATTCTCAGAAATACAATTATTCAAAACAACTGTAAAGGACTTATGATGAAAAATGCTGTCTATCCCCAGAGAAAGAACTGATGGTGTCTGAATACAGATTGAAGTGTGCTTTTTTAAAACTTTCTTTATTTTTCTTGGGTTTTTTTGTCTGTTTTCTTTCACAGCATGACCATTGTGGATATGTTTTGCATGACTACACATGTTTAACCTATGTTGAATTGCTTAGCTTCTTAGTGAGGAGATGGGGAGGGAAGGAGAGGATTAGGAACTCAAAATTTTAAAAATGAGTGTTAAAAATTGTTTTTATATGTAATTGGGGGAAAATTAAATACTAAATACATAGAATTTAAAAAAAAATTTCCAGCTGGAGAGACTTGCCTGTGGCTCAAGGAGTGTTAGAGGTGTTCACGAGTGTTAGAGGTGAGCTTTGATCCCAGGCAGGTCTTTCTGAGTCTTCCCCCTTATTTTACACTGTTTTCACATGTTGTTTTAGGTAAACTCACCTTTTTGTCTCATGCATACTTCCTTTTCACACACATTAATTTTCTGGCTAGCTCTGGCTGGCTCCCTTCTGCCTTATCCATGTGGTTGATAAGAATAATACTGGTGAACACATTCAGCCAAAGCAGATATTAGCAGGAGGACATTCGAGCCTGGAGATTGGAGGAGATTGAGTCAAGATCTAGCCCTTGAGAGGAGAAGGGAGGGGTGGGGCCAGGGCCAAGCCTAAGGCAGTGAGTGGTGTCAAGGTTATCTAAACTGGGCCTAAATGTCCGATGCACAGTAACAGTTTGGCCATGTCTATATCTTTGCTGTATTCAGAGTGAGGTGATTATACAGCATTCAGGAGAAGGCAAGGCTTTGGTCTTTAACCTGAATCTAGCTCAGATCCCCTATGCACTATTGATTTTGTTCATGTTCCTGAATGACAGAGTTCACTACATGTCTCCTTTTGTTTGAGATTTTTCCCTTGGTCTTCCCATTTCCCTTCTTGCCTTTTGTCGTGTGTATTTTCCTCCTTTCTTCCCTTGAGATTTCTCCTGTTTCTTCTCAGAGGATGCCACAGACTGATTTTCTTCTGTGTTTTTATTAACTGTAATGGTGCTGGGCCTGCCAATTTGGTGTGGTAGTCTTTGACATAAAAGTATTTCAAACTACATTGTCTCATACATATACAGGACTTTTATGTTAAAAACCTATTTTAGATTAATGTATTGCTTTTGGACAATTATAAACATGACTGCCTCTTTTAGAATTTCAATAGTTTTGTACTTTCATTTTATAAACCATTTTGTTCATTCAAAGATATCTAATAGCATTTAAAATTTTATACATGTGTAACCTATAGCCTAGGAATTCCCCAAATATCTGGGCTCACATGGACTGGATCTGATCCTGAGGGCTTTTCTCCAAGAGGAAGCATTTCACTGTGTTAAATTTAATACATGCTTAAAAGAACTCACTGTGCCTAGCAGGAGTTCCTGGTTTCATTTATGTAACAGCCCGGGGATGGTGGTGCAATGCATGGGAATGAGGTTCTTGTGGGGTGATCATGGCAAGGAAGCCGAGGCCTGCCAAGGCTAGTAGCAGCCCTGTAGCATCCCGGGCTCCTTTCTTGCCCCGTCCTCCATCCTTGCTTGTGCCATTTTTCTACTCATTCTTTTCTAGCTCTTCTCATGCTTGCTTCAAAGGGAAGAAGGTTCAAGGTCATGCAGATGTGAATATATATTTAGGCACATATGCTCTGGAAGATCATTCATTTTAACAAACCTTGTCATTGGCTCTGCTGGCACCTCCGGGAAAGGCTGAGGAAAATGAACAAAATCTCAATCCCAGTCTCCACATTCAGTCACTAATGCAAACAGCTCAGGCTGATGGCCCTCAGGTTCTATATCACAGGTTTAAATACCATAGATACTGAAAGTGGGAAAAAAAGCACCCAGAAGCTGCCTGTGCTAATCATTCATTTACCAATGAAGTGAAGCCTGGAGGACTTGCTGATACATTAGGTGATGGAGTCAAGATCCAAAAAAGTCTCAGCAGGGCAGACTAATGGACTGAATTGAGTAAGATGAATATCAACTTAGAGTCTTGGGTTAAAAAAATCCACTACAGGGGCAGCTAGGTGGTGCAGTGGATAGAGCACTGACCCTGAAGTCAGGAGGACCTGAGTTCAAATCCTCAAATCCAGCCTCAGACCAAACACTTGACACTTACTAGCTGTGTGACCCTGGGCAAGTCACTTAACCCCAATTGCCTGAAAAAAACAATTTCAGAAGGAAAAGCAAAAGGCAGAACTAGACAGTAGGGCTTAGACTTCTACTAGGCAATAAGGTCAAAATGAGTCGGTCATTTGATGTGACAGCCCCAAATACTGTTTTTATCCTTGGCTATGTTAAGAAAGGCTCAGTGTCCAGATGAGTGAGGTGATAGTGCTGCTCTGCTCTGCACTGGTCACACCACATCTGGACTTTGACAGTCTACCAGAAGAGAGCAGCTGGGTGGGTAGTGGAAGGAGGGACTATGCCTTAGAAAGACCCTTAGAAAGATGACCAGAGAGTATTTAGCATGGAGGATCAAAGACTTAATGTGGGGCATGATAGCTCTCTTCACTTATTTGAAAAGCTATTTATCATGTGGAACATTGGTTAGACTTGAGGTTTTTTTCCCAGTTGTATCCCCTATCCTTTTCTTATTATTATCCTTTTTTTCTTTCTTGTTAATGAATTCTGATCTTTGCTCTGACAAAATGGTGGTCTGATTATAGCCAGACATCTGTTTCAGGGATAACTTCCAGATCAATAACAACTCTTTTCTTACCTGAATGAATGAATGAACGAATCATTTATTTAGTAGTATGTACAAACAGCAAAGCAAGACGGTCCCTGCTCTCAAGGAACTCGTACTCTGCTGGGGGAATTGGCACATATGGAAAGTTTCAGCTGCCAGTCCTAGGGAAAGGTCCCATGGTCCTTAGGGGGAAGCAGCAAAACAGATGGTAATAAGTCCTTTTTTCTAGTATCATTCCCACTGTAAAAAACATTTTTTCCCTTTTTTCTTTCTTGTGATGCTTTTCCATTCTTTCCACATCCGACACTTAAACTTCTTTTCAGGAAAAAAGTATTTATGATATAAAGATATCTTTGTGTTGTCTACAAGTCTTTAAGCTTCTCATCCCTTTTCCTAAGCCATGGTTTCTCATGTATTTCTCACCATCTTCATCTTTTCTCATGTTTGCTTTGAGATTACCAAGTATCGAAGTGAATGTTGGTTTAATTTGGAGGATTTCATCACAATATACCTCTTTGTCCACAGCAACCATTGTTGGTGCCTAAGCTGCATTTGTTTTTATGGTGTTCTTTTTGAACATATTTAGCAGTAGTACTGCAATATATGGTGATTAAATAGCTCATTTAGTAATGTTTTTTATTGCCTTTGGACTTTCGATAAAACTCACTGCCCCAATTTCTGTGTTTGCCTCTCTATGGATTACCCATATATATACACTATCTTTCCATTAAGCCATTATTTCTTTCTTCTGGTATAATTTATGGCAGGAATGTCAAGATGGATATGATTCAGATCCTGCAGCATTATATACACTTTTTAGTCATTGGGCAAGTGTCTTTCCTTTAGAGTTATCAACAGTCAAATTAAAGTTTAATTTACCTAATAATTGTGATTCTTAATTCCTTTTGCCTCCTTTTCTTCCACTTTGCTGTCATTACTGCAAAAGTAGAAGTCTGCCTTGAAAGTCTGAGTACCATTTAATATTTTTCCTTTGTTTCAAGCCAAAAATATCATTACTTAGTGGCCCACCTGCTGGTATTGTCTCTCTGTGTTTAACCTGACTAGTTCTTGGAAACCAGCCCCCACTTATTGCTAAGGCCATGCTTGAAACCTTTCTATCATAGTATAACCTGCCAGGCTTTTGGCTTCACTGGGGTAGTGTGGCCCCAGAATGGGATTTTGTGAAACAGTTCAAAGTCTAAAATAAGGTATCATTTCCTAGCCCTTAGAGCTATCCAAAAGGAGAATGGACTACCCCATAGGTCTCGGTTTCCCCTTTGCTGGTGACGTTTTCAGAGGCTGGAAGATAGCTTGGTAAGGTTGTTGTAAACAAGATTCTTGTTCTGGTTGGAGGGACACTGTCTGAGGAGCCATCGTTTTTGGAGTTACTTCGAATCTGTGGCTTTCCTTACCTGCTTTGGAGTCACCTAGCCCAGTCTCTTTGTTTTCCCTCATGTTGTTCTGTTAGAATGTAAGTGACTTGAGGGAAAGGATGGTTTTGTTCTTTGTCTTTGTATCCCCAGCATTTAGGGCAGTTCCTGGCATATAATAGCTGCATAATCAACAAATGCTTGTTATGTGGCTGTTTGACCCTAAAATTGGACATTATGAATGAGTACCTAGGGTGTCCATTACTTTCTTTTCATTTTGAAAACCTCATTTGCTTACCTAAGAGGTTTTTTGTTCTTTGTTTTTTGTTTTAGTCTGTGTTTATATTCTGCCAATTTATTGCTCTTTGATTTAATTGGATCTCACTGGGTGTTTGTCAAAAAAGTGCTTTTTAAACCTTTAAGCTCAAAATAAATGTAAGCTATTACTTTAATAAAGAAAAATGTAGGAAGGCCTTTCAGTGTTTTTTTGTAACTTTTTCTATTATATTCATTCAAATAACTAATCTTTTTTCAGGTGTGGTTTGGAGATGATCTTCCTCTAAGCCCCCGAAGTCCCCTCACTCCCCGACATGGGCCAGGTTTGGCAGACGTTTGCCAGTATGATGAATGGATAGCAGTACGCCATGAAGCTACTTTGGTACCTATGCGGGAAGATTTGGCGATCTGGCTAAATGGTTTATTGGGTGAGGCTTGAGATCCTTTGTTCAGTGAATTCTGAGAGAAACATGATATAAGTTGCCCTGGGTGTATATAAGTGTGTGTGTGTGTGTGTGTGTGTGTGTGTATTTACATGCCCCTCCCTATGTGTGTGTTCATACTTGGGCACATACACACAAGTGTTAGGGTTGAATACTGAGAAGAATATGTTATAATTGATGTGGTCAGCATGTTCAAGCCAATAAAATTTAAAATTAATAGGCATTTACAATGGTAAATGTTTTAAAGTAAATCTATGTGCCCGTTTTTTAGCTTCATGCTTTTACTATTATTCTCTTTGCTCATATGGCCACCATCTTAGTTCAGGCTCCTATCATCTGGACCTTATCCAGACCTCTGTAATATTCTTCAGATTGGTCTTCCTGCCTCAAGTCTCTCCCCACTCCAATCTATCCTCCATTCAGCTGACAAAATGATTTTATGGGGCAGCGAGGTGGCACAGTGGATAGAGCACTGGCCCTGGAGTAAAGACGACCTGAGTTCAAATCTGGCCTCAGACACTTCACAATTATTAGCTTTGTGACCCTGGGCAAGTCACTTAACCCCATTGCCATAGCCAAAAAAAAAAAGTGACAAAATGATTTTACTAGTGTAATAATGATATGCTGAGTTCTCTTTTTTGCTTAAATTTGGTGTCTTTGGAAGAATCCTCATTTTTAAGTCTATTTTTAGGTGTTGATGTCAAGGCAGAAAGATTATTAGAAGAACTTGATAATGGTGTCCTTCTATGCCAACTGATCAATGTTCTGCAAAACACAATTAAAACATGTTGTGATTCTGAGGAACTAGGGGTGAGTCACATTTTTAAAAAAATTTGTAATAATGTTATAACCTGAATGTTAACTTCTTTTCACTAACCTATTTTAAAATGTTTATTTAAGAGTACCTGTCAGCAGAGATGGTCACAGGTTCTAATTTACTACTGTTTAAGGCTCTCTGATCCCCAGTCTCTTTTTTCACCCTTATGTCTTAACTATTTCCCTAGCTATTATATATCCTCCACTCTAGCTAATCTGGGCTATTCCTTGAGTGCTTTCCTGGTTGAAAAGAGTCACAAGATGATCACTGTGTCTCTTGGGAAAACAAAGCCGGGCCCCAGTGGCTCCAGAATGTATTTTCTGGTAAATTGCCCCTTTTGGTTTATGGTATATGTATATATTCATTTTAATAAAATTAACTCCATTCTTATATTCTTTTACTTATGTGGAAGGAATTCAGATAACTTTTGAATTAAAAAATATATAATTTCCTCAGATTTACTTTTACCATTCCCTCTGTTTAAACTGCTCTCTCAGTTTACAATGTTCACTCATGATTTTTATACTCAGCCTCCAAATGCCATTTTCTCTATGAAGCCTTCTAGAAGTGATCTCTCCCTCTGAATTCAGTTCAACAAACATTGATTAAGCTCCTATGGGCAAGGCTCTGAAAATACAGTGAATAAAAATGGTACAGGCCCTGTCCTTAGGGATTTACAGTTTTATTGGGAGATTAGACACCTGCCTAAGTAACTGTAAGGATGGGTCAGAATATGCCAAGTGCATCAGAGGATCCGGAGCCAGGAGAGATCTGGAGCAGGAGGGATCACTTTTGGAGTGTGTTTGAGGCGATGTTTCATGGTGAAAGTGGAAATGGAGCTGGGCCTTCAAGGGTTTAATGTGTGGTGACGTGGGAGGAGGCCATCCTAGTCACTAGGGGTGGGGAGTAGCCTGAGCAGAGAGGCCCGCTCTGGTCAGACAAGATCAGAGAATGGCTGGAGGGCCAATGCTTAGAAGGTGGAAAGAGAGTGTGAAAACAAAGAGTAAGAACGAAGTGGATGGTCATTGGAACCAGATGGAGAAGGGCTGTAAATAGCTGGATTAGGAGCTGGCATTCACCCTGTCATGGAGCCCTCCCGAGCAGGAGACAGGAGTGATCAGAGGGAGGCAGACAGCTTGGCATCGTTGTCCTGCGGAGTTAGAGAAGGGAGACACTGGAAGCAGGGAGAACAGCGAGGAAGCTGTGCCTGAAGTCCTGAGAGGAGCTCATGGAGACCCGAGCACGGTGCCGGGGCAGGTGGTGGGAGTGAGAGCACTCTGGAGATGACAGGACTCGGTCATGTCTCCCTTAGCACTCATTACCTGCTACCAAGGTCACCTGGGCTGAGGTCTTAATTCTCTTAATAGAGTGTAAGCTTCTTGAGAGTACGCCCTTGGTCTTATTTATCTTTGTACCTGTGAAGACAGGAGCTAGTGTGGTGCTTGACAGAGTAGGCATGTGGGAAGCAATTGTTAAATTGGGTGTATGATAGGCTTAATTATTTTTTTATTCTTTAAGTCTACGACAAAACTGGGGGGAAAAAAGCTGAGGGCACATTTCATCTCCTTTAATCAACAAAGGGTTGTCTGAGTTAAACTCAAGCCACTTTCCCTGGCAGAATCCATCACCAGGAGTCTTTTGAAATTGGAAGTGTCTGTTTTCAGAGCTCTTAAATTACAGATTACCTGTCATCTTCTCTGATCACCTCTTTGAGAACTGAAGGACCACTGTACTCTTAGGACATGAAGAAGAATGTCCAAAAGGCTTCTGGTCTTTTTGAATGATTGTGATTTGAGAAGAAACCTATGATTTCCTGGGTGTGGAGACTCATGCAGTGAGAACTCCTTCCACTTAATGGAGGCTGGCAACTTGTCTGTTTCTTGGAGATTTAGAAAATTTGGGGCACCAACAGGACAAGTGACCTACCCAGGGTCACTCAGTCAGTGTGTCAGAGACCAGTCTGAACCTAGGTCTTCCTGACTTCTAGACCATCTTTCTCACTCCTGTGACATATTACCTTTTAGTCTGTTACTCTTTTCTGCTTTTGAAAAGATTTCCAGGGTCTTAAGACACTGAAGACAAGCTAGGAGAATCACATAAGGCACTACTTTTCCTGGGAAGTATTTAAACAAAGGCTTTGTTTTTTTGTTTTGTTTTGTTTTTTATAAAAAAAAACTTGGAAAGGCCTTCGACATCATCTGGTGCTGGGATTCTTAACTTGTTGGATGTCATGGTCTCCTTTGGCAGGCTGGGGAAGCCCAACACTGCTCTGCTTTGGTGCTTGCAATCATAATGGAAGCAAATAGACAGTTAAAATTAGAGGTCAGTGAAAGTAAAGATAATATTTTCTCCATCGTAGTTCATAGACCCCCTGAAATCTATCCAAGGGTCTCTTTAGGGTCTCTGGACCCTGAGGGAAGGACCTTTGGTCCAGTCTCCTCATTTTACAATTAAGGAAGCTAAAGACCAGAGAAAAAAGTGATTTGCTCAAGGTCATTTAGCAAGCTGGTAGGAGAACCAGGCCTTCTCCTGCTAATTTTAACTGGGCTATTTTCCTAAGGAAACACTATAGAAATGAATAGATTGAAAGGAAACTAGACTATAATGAAAGGAAAATGAAACATAACAATTGTTTTTTCCAAATCAGTTTTATTCTATAACTATTTTATGGTTATGGTTAATATATTGAACTTTCTTTTTCAGCTTATAGAAATGTATGTCTATTTTATCCTTTTTTTGATTTCTACATATTTTTAATTTCCAGGATTTTCCAATGAGAAAAATTCCCTGTAAAAAAGATGCCCCATCAGGCTCCTTCTTTGCTAGAGACAATACTGCAAACTTCCTTCACTGGTGCAGGCGTGTTGGTGTTGATGAGACCTACCTCTTTGAATCTGAAGGTTTAGGTGAATATTTCACTGTTTAAAAGTTTGATAAACCATTTTTGTATCATTTACTTTCATTTTCATGCTCTAAATAATGGACTCAGATAGCAAGCCTTGAATCTCCTGAAAGACGTGGAACACAATGGGAAAATCACACAGGCTCAGAGTCACAGATATTACAGTCTTTATTGGTTGGCAACAATCTTCATCTGGAAAGCTTTCCACACACAAGACGGCTGGCACGCTTGAGTGAGCCAGCCTCAGAAATGTTCTTAAGTGAACTTAGGACCCTGTGTTAGGGGCTAACATTGACATCGAGTGGCACTATAGAAGGAGCATTACTACTTATTTCTCTTTACCTCGATTATGAAAATACCTGATCAGACGCTTGCCTGGTAAGCATCACGTGTCCTGCTCGTTGTCCAGATGGAATGAAGTCTCTGAGAACTCCTTTTGAAAAGTCGTTCTTTTCTACCACCCCCAGTTTGTGTAGCACCTACTGTGTGCCAGGCACGTGTTAAGTGCTTTGTTATCTCATTTGATCCTCGCAGCAATCCTAGGAGGTAGGTGCCATTGTCATCCCCATTTTACAGATGAGGAAACTGAGGCAAACAGATTAAATTACTTGTCCAGGATCATGTAGTTAATAAGTGTCTGAGACGAGATTTGAACTCAGGTCTTCCTGACTCCAGCCAGGCCCAGTGCTCTGTGCACTGTGACATGCCCAAGTTGCTAGAGATTTATTACTACTCAAGGTTTATTGATGTGGTTTTGCATTAACTTTAAATTAGCACAAATGTTTGTATGATGGCAAAGATGGTGTGATAATCTAATACAGGCTCATAAAGGACATTTTACCCAAATGTTTGTTTTCTTATGAGAGGGACAGAAATGAAACACAAAAGGTCTTTGGGTTTTTATCAAATTGTATCCACTTCTGCCATGAGGCCATGAAGGGATCCTGATCCTTTTTGACATCTTTATGGAAGACATGGTTTCCAGAAATCACAAGAAACAGCTAGTTCTGTCTCAGACCTACTTTTCTTCCTTTGAGAGGAAGCAAGATGAAGTTTTCCACTTTGTGTTCCTGGTGAGAATGCATTTCACCATGGGCCTGACATGATGCCTGTGCCATCTAGACGGAACCTTATCATGAAAATGGTTTCTAAGCTAAGTGCTTAGTCATTCTTGTTCTCTGAGGGGCTCCGAGACGTTTGGCCATCCTTTGTGCCTTTCTCTCTTTTGCCAGGGCCTTGCAGCAGCGCTGCAGTAGAGGAACAGAATTCTGAAGCCGTCCCCAGGGTTTTCTTGCAGCTGGAAGGAAGAGGCAGGCTAGGCTACATGTTTCCAGGAGAAATGCCCTAGTGACTAAGCTATTTAAGATTGCTTTCCATCCTCCAGTAGTAAGACTTACGGTTGACTACTTTAGAACAGTAACTTCTGTCTGGAAAATGTAAAGAACTCCAAGTCACAGACTTTCCTACCTCTCAAATGGGAAAGTATGCCAGCTAGCAGCAAGCCAACTCTTTTGCCATTATTGGATTAATATTTTAAAACTTTCCGTTACTTTTTAGTGCAAAATGAGAAAAGGATAAAAATAAACAGAGGTGAAAAGCTGAAAGACAGGGAAAGGGAAGTTTAAATTCAGGTTGGCCAATTTCCATTTTCAGTACAACTAGAGTGAGTTCTCATAGGCACTGTTACTTAAGCCAGAAACAAGGATCCTCTGCTTGACCTTACCCTCACATGTCACATTTGGAGAATGCACTTCATTTTTGGGGTTCTGTTTTGTTACTATCCCTTTGAAGTAGGTAGTTAGTATGAACATTCCAGAAAGTGAAAATGAGTCAGAGGAACCCAATCATTTGCCAAGTAAAGAAAGTTGATGCCACGCAGCACTGAGGTGTAGTTCTGGCTAAACCAGGTTAGGTCTTAGATCCTTGGGTTTTGTCCCCTGATAGCATTAGCCCCTGTGGAAATATAAACTAGCTGTGGTTTTAAATCTTGATTTCTTTTATATGCGAGAAATTTTGTAAGTATCAGGACACAGAGTTTTCACTGTTCAGTCTCCTCCAACCTTCCCTTATTAGACATATTTTATATTTGTGATAGAGAAATATTTAAAGAACACGAAAATTTCTGGTATAAATATGTGGATTATCAGAATACCTTACCTTCTTTCAGAGTTTCTTGTTACTTTTATTAAATTATGATCAGTATGATAGTGTCTTACTTTGCTCAACAAGTCAGTGAAACAGTTCAACAAACATTTATACATGGCAAAAATGAAACCATGCCTGTCCTTAGAGAGCTTACACTCAAGTGCTCTAGTGTTCTTTTTCACAGCTCTCTTCCATGCCAGAAGAAAATTTCACTTGTTTAATTTTGGACAGTAAAATATAACTTTTTTATTTTCCACAGTTTTACACAAAGATCCAAGACAGGTTTATCTTTGCCTTCTGGAAATTGGGAGAATTGTATCAAGGTATGTAATCAGTAAAATCTAGACTTTTGATGCTTCATTTTTTAAAAATAATTAGCCATTTTACTTCAGGGAAAAGGAGTGCAGTACCAGAAAATAAAAGTCATTCATTAGGACAAAGGAACTGAACTTCCTTCACAGTTACTTTTTCTCCTTGCTTTTTTAAAAAAATGCAATAAATAAATAAATGTCTTTCCCTTCAATGTCCAGTGTCATAATGAGTTAATCGAAGGTGTAACCCAAATGGCTTGATTTCTCTAAGCTTCACTCAACCGGATTTACCAGAATGACCTGAATATGTTATTTCTTTTCCCCCAAATCTGAGTATACCCTATAATTGTGTTGATCTTTGATCAGATCCTAAGGTGTTTTTTTCTCTCAAAAGAGCTTTAATTTTAAGTTTGTAGCCTGTATTTTGGAATGACTTTCGTTCATCTTTATAAAATAGTTCATGTACACACTGGGAAAAGACAAAGACTTACAGCTGCCCAAAGGGAAGTAAGTCCTCTTTAAATATGAAGGAGGTCATCCAGGGTGACTATGGGATGGAACCACTCGGGCCTCTCCTGGTTCCCAACTAATGCCCTCAAGGTGTTCCCCAAACTGATTCAGCAGATAGCAGGCTAAATATATGACGTTATGACGTGGAATATAAGAGTGTCTGAAGAATTGAACATGAATATCACACAGAGGACAATGGAGAGACACATGGTGGCTGTGGTTGTCTATGAACAACGTATAACCAGTGAAGAACTTTGAAGGAGTGGAGTAGAAGATGTCATCAGGGAAATGTATGATAGGAAGAGGAGATGTGACCAGGGTGAAAGTTAATAGACAGAGGGCCACCCTGTGAACCCTCATAATGTCAGAAGTTAGGAAACTCTCATCAGTCCCAATAAAATTATTTTATGGCATGTTACCAGGCCATTGACACCCTTATTGTGAATCTGATGAGACGTGTTTGATGCATTGACCAAGCGTTGTCTTTACATGACTCGCACCAGACTTTTATCTCAACAACCTTCTGTTCTTTTCTTCCCCCTCCCCCATGCTATCTTCCTCTTCCTCCACCAGATATGGGGTTGAACCACCTGTATTAATAAAACTTGAGAAAGAGATTGAACTAGAAGAAACTTTGCTCAATACCTCTGGGTCTCTCCTGCCAGACAGCCCAGCAAAGTCCTGCTGTCACCAGGGAGAGCTCCACGAAGCTGTAAGTACCAGCCATACCTTCCTTAGCCTGTGAGTGAGGCCAGCTTTATATGGCTGTTTCCTCATGTGATCCTTATCCTCAACTCCAGTCATGACTAGGGGTATGTCGTAATGACAGCTCAAGAAAGACTGCTGAAAGTCATAAACGTTGAGTAGTTCTTAGTCCTGGGCAAGACTTGATTTTGTTTCGTGGATTTTTGGGTTGTCTCTTAGTGCTTGATTCACAGGATAACATTATGAAAGAAATGACTGCTTATTCACTTGTCCTACCATTACTTTTGGAAAGTGGTCATTTTTAATTCGATAGACACATTTATGTAGTCTATGGTTTTAAAAATATCTGGTCTAAAAAATTCCTTACCAGAATATAAAACATTCACCTGTACTTACACAGTTCGTTAACACAATGAAACTAATAATAGTCAATATTAGTATGCACAGTGGTGAAATACTAGTGACTACTCATCATGGCGAAAAAAATTAAAATTACTTCTTTTAGATTCACCTTACTTTCTTTTAGGTTGTGGCCTAAAGTTATAATGGTTAAACATTAATAGTATTCAGATAGAGAGAAGAACTGGATCATTGATTTCAGTAGTATCCAGAACTCTCAGACACAGATCAGCTCGTGCTCTGCCATTTCTAGAGTTGGAGAGCTGCCTAGGTCTGGCATGGAGGGGTTAAGTGACTTGCCCTAGGGTCATGCAGCCCCAGTACACGTCAGAGACTTGAACCTACTATTTCTTGGCTTGTAGGCCCCTTCTGTACTGCCTGCTGCCCCAGCATTCAGATAGTTAGTCTAAACTAGTTTTCTTGCAGGAAGTAGAGGTAATTTCCTTCCTGAAGGGAATGAATCATTCTGCTTAGAACACAAAAAAAATCCACCCCCAAAATAAAAAAAAAAGTTTTTGTTTTACATATCTATCTACAGACTTTGTACAGTGTCTTATGTATTATAGCTAAAAATAGAAATTGGGCTAATGTTGATGTGAATAGCGAATTGTTATTAGCATTCTTTAGAGGCCTATTTTTAGTTATATTTTTAAGGTTAAGTTATGTAAGTCATGTAATAACTTGTTTTATCCTGTACCTTTTTGAGTGCTATTCTGTAAAACTTATTGTTTGAGGCTGGACCTCTCCTAGGAAACACAGCTGTGTTTCACACAACTTCTGAGACTTAAGCATATTGTCTCATAGTGACAGGTGGCAATAAATGAAATAAATGGAGGAAATCACAGTTCAGACCAATGACAGGTGTCTTTTGTTAACTAAAGTAAATGTGACCCTAATTGCTGAGTTTGGCATAGTGTCTATAGATATCTTAAGTTTTTCTTTAGCCATGGTGCAAGAGTAGATCTGAATTCACAGGCATGTGTAACTTCTAGAAATCAGTGTTATTACTTTATAAGTTTATCATCTATGTAGGTATCTGTACCAAAAGGAGAAATCCAGAAAATGTGACTTTCTCTATTTCCTTGGGAGCTTCCTTGTAGCTCGTTATCTGGGACCAGATCCCAAGGCCCTTAAAAACAGCCATCCAGTGTTGTTTTTCTCCTTAGGCACTTTTTAGTCTGATCTGGAACTCCATCCCTACCTGCTTTCTTAGTAGTAAATGATTTCTAAATCGTTTTTGAGTCTTCATATTTCAATTTGATTTCACCAGCTATTCACTACATTTGTTTGTTAACCTTCACTTTCAATACAATGCTGTTATACTGAGTCTTCAATTTTGGTTGAAAATTTAGGTTAAGCACATTGCTGAAGATCCTCCATGTAGTTGTTCTCATCGATTTTCCATTGAGTATTTGTCTGAGGGGCGCTACAGATTGGGAGACAAAATACTTTTCATAAGAGTAAGTACAATGTGGGGTGTGTGTGTGTGTGTGTGTGTGTGTGTGTGTGTGTGTGTGTGTGTGTGTGTGTATGTTGCTGTTGCTGCATACACCTTACTTTAGAATATTAACTAACCCTTAGGTTGTATTAATTATTTCTAACTAATTGTCAGAAGTAGCAAGGTGTTTTTGGGGGGAGAAGGGTGTTTTGGGTTTTTTTTTTGCGTTAAAAAATGGAATTTTGCTATAGTGACCATGGTTTGTTCACAGTCAAACACTTTTAGTGGAGAATAATGCATAGTTTTCTTAGGCATAGAGATGAATAGAATAGGACATTTTTGTCCCAACTCAACCAATTTAGAGTATCCTGTAGTTTAATAAAGACAACCAATTTGAAAGGCAAGAATAAAAGGGAAAGACAACACATGTAAAGATAAATTGAAATTAGTGAAAATAAAAAGGAAACAGGAGGCTTTGAAGCCTGTGTACCCTAAAGAAAAGACTGTTAATTTAAATTAGCCATGAAATAATACCTAAGCGCCCTTTGGTGGCCATGCCACATGCTTCATCTCTAGCTCTGTCTTTGCTTTGGATTTTTACTTTTGTCATTAATAAGAGGATCAAAACCTGGGACTGCTTGCATCATTGTCTGCTTTGTTCTAACTTGAAGAAATTTCTCCCCTCCTATATTCTCTTCTATTTCAAGCTTCACCTTTACTCTCCAACCTGTGTCCAGTTTCTGTATCTTCTTCCTTTCATTAATTTCTATTTTTATAGCCTTCTTCCTCAGCTCACTAAATGTTTATACACAAAAACACTCCCATCAGATGCTCTCTATTAGCTGAATGACTTTCCAGGTCTCGAGCTGGATGTGGAAATGGGCTTTGTGAAATGTGCAGTTTATCATGGCTGCTTCATGACAGGTGGCTGTAATATGCCTGGCATTTTTAAATTCACAATTTGATTTGACATGTCATACCAGCAGACCACCATTCTATGTGCAGTCAAAGAGCTGATATGCTTGCGCATCCTATAGAACCCATTCAGGATGAGATGTGAACCTCAAGATGTCTTTTTCCCTTTCTTTACTTGGGCAGATGCTTCATGGCAAACATGTGATGGTTCGTGTTGGTGGAGGCTGGGATACTCTTCAAGGTTTTCTGCTTAAATATGACCCCTGCCGAGTGTTGCAATTTGCAACTCTGGAGCAAAAAATCCTTGCATTTCAAAAAGGCATTTCTAATGAGAGTATTCCAGATTCACCTGCCAGATCCCCTGCACCACCTTTAATGGACCCAATGTCGGCTGTCAACATGATTCAGAAGCAAAATTCGAGACCCGGCACGCCAGTTTCCGTGCTGAGAGCTAGGGAGAAGCAGGCCATTAGCAAACGCCCTCAGTCTCCTGCTCAGGCATGTGCCACCCCTACACCGCATCTGCCCAGCTCACTAAAATCTGGTCACTCAAACTCTGGACGTTCTAAAGTACCAAATTCATCAACAACAGCTTCTCCTCAACATCTTACAAGTTCAAAAGGAGCACCAAAAAAACCATTGTCTCTTGCCCATCCAGTCAGTAAAAGCACCTCTTCCTCTGCTTCTTTGAAGCCTGCATCGAGTGTCTCTGAGTCTCTACGGAAACGTGTCTTGTCCCCTGATCACCCCAAAGTCAAGCACCCACCAGCACAGAATTCAGAGAGCAGGCCACCCCCTGCTCATCTTTCACAGAAGTCTTCTGTGCAGTTAAAACACAATTCTGTTTCTTCTAAGCACAGTACAGTGTCTCACTCAGCATCACCAAAGCCTCCCAAGCTTCCTGCAGCAAACAGCAGGCTAGGATCTAAGCCTTCCCCATCTCTTCAGTCCCCTGCAAAAATGACAAAATCTAGCACTAAAAGCACAGTGGAAAGACCAGCAATGGCACAATCTCAGCCACCCAGCAGAAGGCCGCCGGCAAGTAGAGTCCAGTCACAGAAGCTCAAATCAGCCCCTCATTTAAACCAACCAATTTCTGCAGCCTGCATTTTGCCTGTGAAAACAGCCCATGTGACCACCTTGCTGGGACCAACTGGTAAGAATGTGGCTTCTGAAACTAAAAAACCTTCCCAGAATAAGAACAAAGGTCTTCTGACAGGGGCTAACCTGTCAAAATCTTCTGGACGTACCCCATTGTCAGTTGTAAAGCTTTCCCAGTCTTCCATTAGAACACAGACTTCAGTAAAGGCCCCCCAGCCCACCACAAAGGGTCAGTCTTTGATGAAAACCCCACCCAAGAGTGGCAGGACCATGGCTCTGCCAACCAAGAAGCCCCTCTTGTCTGGGCAGCAAGCAGCTAGTGATGGGGAGAAGCCCACTCTGAAGAAAAAGGAAGATGACCATTATTTTGTTATGACTGGAAATAAGAAAGCTAGAAAGTAAATAAAAATGAGTCATGTTGCAGCAAGCACAGGAAATAAGAAAAGAATCTAATTTAAATGTTCAAGGTCTTTAGTAAGGTCTTTTTGCTTTGTTGTGTCTGAGTTTGCAGTGGTTAGCTGCACTGAGGAAGAACACAAAATACTGAGCACTGCAAAGAACATTGGCTTTGAGTAAGAAGACCTGGGTTTGAATTCTGTCTGTTATTTGCAGGTGTGCCCTTGGGCAAGCCTCAGTTTCCTCATCTCTAGAATGAGGGAATTTGGTTGGATCTTGAAGGTCACATCTGGCTCAGAATAAGTGGGCATTTTCAGCAAAAGATGGCACCCAGGAGCTTCAAGCTCCTGGCTTACTGTGACAGTGCCACTAATGGGAGTGGTATCCTGTTCAAGCGTTTCTGCTAATGTCTATATATGCAGGAAAGCCTGAAAAATTCAATAACACTACTGAAATTATGGCTGCGCTCAGTGTCAATCTATGAAAATGTCAGCTATAAGGTTGTAACGTGTCCCATAAGCAACACTAAGCCCTTGTCTGTAGCTTAATACTTGTATACAACAAAGTCACCCCTACCTTTCCTGTTCAGCATTGCCAAGAAGGCATCAAGCAGATGATCACTGTTTGTTAATGATTAGGCTTGGATTACTCTGAATTACTGTAGATTTTTAAAAACTATTTTAATTTTCTTGATGAATGCCCCCAGACAAACTCTGGATTGAACTCAGCAAATGCGTGATGTTACCACGAATAACATTTTACTACTTGCGCCTAATTTATTGGCTTGTGAATACTGTACTGTAGATAGGAACTAAACCTGGTTCAGTCTGCTATCTGCACATGTGCAGATGTTTTGTACTTTAGAAGGTGGATTGGTGTGCAAAGTATATTGAGAAAGTGGACTCAGTAGCTCTTAGAAAAATCCTAACAATTGTTTTAACACTGTTTTTGTTGAACTTCACAAGACGGGTTGACATTTAAAAAGGTGAATGTCAGAATCCTGTTGGATTAAAATCTTTAAAGTGAAAGACAAGAAATGTATTTTGAGTGGTGCTCCAAAAATTGTCTTTCAGAAAATATGTTTTTCATTCTTTAGAGAACTTAGCTTTGCCAATTTTAACTACATTCTCAAAGTTATGCATTTTTCCTCGACCTGGAGCAAGGCTCCCTTCAGTATTCAGGTAATCAATCAGTGTGACACGTTTGTTTCTGTAGCCCCAGCCCCATAGGAAGGAGATAGAGCTAAATCATGTCATGATAATAGACTAGAAGGTTGTGGAGCTTGTAAATACTTGAAAGTGTTCAATTTCTCAGTTCTAGCATATTTAAGGCACCATGCTTTTAGGATATTTTGTCTTTGTGGTGTTACATTGTATCTTTCCTGCAGGTTCTTATAGTGAATCATGACTTTTGTGCTTGGGATGTATGTTTAACTAAAGTCACAGTTTCCTTAAAAAAAGCAGAGTATACATTTTCAGAAACTTATTTTCAGTGGCTTAAATTGATTGTCAATATTCCGCAGTCTAGAAAGCCAGGAAACCTTCTATAATAAATAAGTGCTTCGTCTCTCAGATGCTTTTAATATAGGGGGCTATATAATAGGTCAGTTTTTGGAATGACTGTAATGTTACATGTGTGGTTTCAAATAATTCAATTCCAATAACATTTATTAAATGTCTCCTATGTACAAGACACTGTGTGAAGTGTTGGAAACTATAAAGACAAAAAAAAATTGTTGGTTTAAAAGGAATATTCACAAAACAGTTGGCCAAAGCCTACTGGTATTCAGGCAATTTGGGAAGAGCCTGCTCATCTTTTCAAAGACAGTTAACTTTCTCAACAAGAAGTTCATAAATTATTGCTCTTATTAATAAATTAAGAGCTACCAGTGGATGGAGAATTGGTTCACTGTTGACCCATGCTAGCAGTGTGACCCTGAGCAATCCATTTAACCATGAAGGTGTCGACCTGCAATGGGAGAGGGAATTTCCTTACCTGGGAGCTCCCAGTACCACTGAGATCACTGGTCTAGTCTCCGTCCCCATTAGTGAATTAAAAGTTAACGCACTTTTAAGAGATGAACAACTTGCATTTAAGAAGGACTTTTAAGTCCACACTGAGACCCAGGACGACATATCTTTACTAGTGGTCTTCTAGAACTTTCATATTTTTATATTTTTTCATTTTTGATATTTCAGGAAGCTAGGATATATAATATATACACAATTCTGCATACTAAACTAGAGAATCAGAAAGTTCTCTTGGCATCTAACATCAATACATTAAAAGAGTTGGGCTGGATGGCCTCTGGTCTCCTTTCTGCTCTGGATTTGTGATTCTCTGATCTGGAACAGGACTGCCCTGGAGTCCACAGCTGCCTCATCAGCATGTAGAGATCCCCTGTAGCTCCTAAAAGCTGGATCAGCAGAGCACAAACGTAGTCAGGTGCTGCCAGGCCTCCACTATGGGCCTGGCAACAGACTCTGTGCTTATCATCTGAGGACCAGTCTAGCAAAGTTTACCAGACCAGCCATTGGGAACTGTTAATTACTTGGCTTGTGCCAAGCTCTTGGAGACAGTCTGCTGTATGATGTAGATGAGCTGTGATATGTATCATTGGTGAAAACCCACGCCAACCAAACCGTGGCTCCAAACAAAAGCAATGTTTCTTAACCATTGGCTGAGTGTAGTAGTGTGGCTTATTAGATCTGGAGACCTCCCTCTTCAGCTATTCTCATGGCACACATCTATTAAATTAGGCATTGTTTTATCCTGCCCCAAGATTTTAACCACCTAAACCAGTTAGTTTCCCTAAATGCCATCAAAATGTGTCCCAGAGAGCTACCTTTTTGTTATATTTTTCAGTATCTGAAAGTGTAATATTTTTATTAGACCCAGATGGCCCAGAGGTGAGGAGGGTGAAAGAATATTATTTTCAGAGTTGCATTTGGCTATTTGATAAAGTTTGAGTGTACAATTCAAATTACCAAAGTTCTTGGAAGAAGCAATCATGTCTGATTTGATTTTGAAAAACAGTGCAATAAGTTTTTAATTACTTGCTGCATATTAGTAATGTAATGAATGTGTTAGGGAGAACTTCTGAAGAAATCATGACACTGCTTCTTTTTAAAAATTGTTCGGTCTTGAATAAGCTGCTGAAGTTAATACGAGCATTGATCCGAAAGGACAGTGTTAACTGTCTACAATACAATCATGTATGTGGTGTTTGTTGCTGACTAAAAGAAAAATCCTGCATTACCAAAAAGATCCGACGTTCTTATGTCTAATTTTATGAGGATTCAATACTTGACTCTGGAATCACTTATTTATATTGGTTTTGTTTTACTAGCACAACTTACTTTAAGTATTAAACATTCAAGTATTAAAATATAAAAACCTATGCCAAGTTTTAATGTTTTTTTTTTTAAATGTGTGTTTAGGTAAATGGGCCACTTTTAGGTTGCAGAAACACTTTTCCCCTTTAACATATATTGCCAAAGTCCTGACAACATGAGGATAATTTCAGACTGAGTGATTTTGCGGGGTGAGTCTTCCTTTCATCTGATATTTATGTCACAAGCCCTGTGCTCCATTTTGTTACAGTGCCTATCTATCATGGATCACTCCAGAGGCTGCATTCGCTATGTGACTACTCCTTTCAAGTAAGCCACAGACTGGATGTTGTCTGTGTTGATGACCTAGCTTGTTAGTCAGGAGTTTAAGGTGGAGGACTGTCCATAGTAAGGGTTGCCAGCAGACATCCCTCAATCTTAACCTTGCATTACTTTAAAAAAAATTTAAATTCTACCTGGCTAGGCTGGTTTCTTTACAAACCTTTGAGAATGCCAAGCCATATGTCCATGTTTTAGTCATACTGTTCCTGCTGCCCTAGCACATACATCCTCTCAGCCTCCTCTCCACCTTTCCAAAATCTGCCCGTCAACATCCATCTCAGGATCCATGTCTTTCAAAGCCTTTCCCAATTACTTCAGTTCATACTGGGCGCTCTCTTCTCTTCCCTCTTCAACTGATGGGCCAAATCCAGAAAGAAATGAATTAGGGATATGCAATCATTCATTGGGTTCAGCAAAGCTCCACAAAGACACAGTGGGGGCGGTATGGTTAGATAAGAGTCTGTGTGGGAAAGACTACGGGGCTTTAATGGAGTGACTACGAGCTCTATTTGCCACCATTTCAGTAGCCAAAAACATAACTTTGATCTTAGCATTAAGAAGAACATCGTGATATGTCTCACTGTTCCCAACCTTGTGCAGAGAACATCTGGAGTGTTGTGTTCAGTCTGGATGCCACCTTTTAGGAGAGATGCTGACTCACTGAAGCCCATCCAAGAGGAGAGGGGTTGGGACAGTCAAGATTCCTTAGACTATGCCATAGGAGCAAGTGAAGAAATCTTAATTACCAGAAAGTTCTGTAAACTCACATTTCAGCTACTCCTACAACACATCTTCATTTTGGTAATTGGAATTTAAATTGTAAAATGTTAGAGCTGAAAGAGACCTTGAGAGATCCTGAGATCTCAGAGGAGACTGAGGCTCAGGGGTGGAAAAACACTTGCCTAGGGTCTCAGTAAGTGGAAGCCAGTTGTGACCCTAACTGAAGTTGGCCCAACACCGTTGTGTCCCAGTCAGCTCCATTGTCAGCACAGAGTACGTCACAAAGCTGGGTAGCATGCTTATCACCCAGATACAGCTAGGGATACCTGTCATGATCAGCATCATGTAACTGGCACAAGCAGTGGTCCCATTCTTATATTCCCTCTGGTGACTTAGTATGAACTTAAGTTTATGGTGATTGCTTGGGATTCCCGCCACAGAGATCATTAGCCACATACCTAACCCTAAAGTCCAGGCTTTCTTCATGTGTAGAATAAAACATATCCCTTAGCCTGGTGACATGAAGGGTAAGAGGAAATTATTTAGGATCTCATCATTGTATTTCTTTGTGAACATAAAAGAACCAAGAAACAACACTGTCTGTCCCTATGACAATGATTCGAGTTCAACATGACAGTCGCAATGGAAAACCTCTGGATAACATGTCAGCTAGATAGCAAAACTCTTCTCTTGACTTCCATGGCAGCCTCCAGACATCTTTCCTGAGCTTAGTGTAGTGAATTGTTCGATGATCATTTAGGTCAATGAACCTTAAGTTTATTCCCTATGATGACTGATTTAAGGGGTTTGTCAGGGAAGATGGGGGTGGGGAGTGGAAGACAGGACAGCAAGAAGCCATCTTCTAGTATTATCTGAAGAGCTGTCATTCTATTTGGCCTCACAGGGCTGAACCAGGAGAAATGATTGGAAGTTCTAAAGAGGCAAACATGGGGTTGAGATGACCATGAAGGCTGTCAACAATTAAAGAGGAATCAGCTGCCTTGAGAGGTGGTGAGTTCCCCATCTTTGGAAGTCTTCAAAGTAGAGGCTGAACAACCACTCATTGAATATGTTATAATTGGGATTCTTTTATGTATGAGTCAGGCTAGGAAGTTGAGATCCCTTCCAAATCTAAATTCGGTGATTATTTGAAGTGCAAAAAAGCTAATTTAGGCTTATTAGGAAAAATTCCTATTAGTAGAGCTATCTGAAGAAAAAAAGATGAGCTGCCTTAGAAGGCAATAGATATTTTTAGATTGAATGCTATTTCATATGTGCCCTTGCTTCTAACCCTACTACATTTGAAATTTATTCCATAATTTCTTCATTCAGTTGCCTTCCATTTTACTCTAAGTCTTCCTGAAGAGATTAGGTGACCACCATAGGGCCTGGACTATATGATCTGTGAGGTCTCTTATTCTGTGTTAGAGTAACCAGTAGCCCAAGTATTCCCAACAGGCTGGCTAAGTCAACTTTAGCAATGGTCAGCAATCAGATGTTTCCCAATGAGCTACTTAAAATACTTTCTGTGTTTACCTTATGTCCTGGATTCAGTAACTGAGGCTATAGATGGTGTCTGGAATGGTCACTGTACCAGCCAGTGTTATGAACAAGACTGATTATTGTGGTCCAGTCAATGGTGGTGAGCCACACTGATCATCGATGTAGGGGAAATGATGTTGTGCAGAGAGCCCATAGTCCAGTTCTCTAGGCCAGAAAAATATTGGAACTTGGCCACTACACTGAAGCATCATCTCAGTTTATCTTCGATGAATGCCCTTGGGAATTAAGTCATTTGGTGTGAACGAATACCATAGCATGCTTAAACCAAGTGTATCTTTAGAGACTGGTTTGGCTTGTTTTGCTGTGTTTTCTTGGGGCTCGAAATGAACAACTGAGGTTTTATCATTTCACAGAACCCTAGACCTTAACAGGAACCTTAAGGACAGCTATGCTGTAACAGGTGATTAATGTTCATGTTTGGGTCAGATTAAATGACCTCTGCAATTCCTTCTAATTTGGGTATTCCAGGCTTCTGGGAGCTCATCTAGCTCTACATTCCCTGCCTCAAAATTTATTTTTCCTATCTTAGGAAAAAGTTTTACTCCTTGACTTGCTTTATTTAAAATTAATTTTATTTATTTGAAAACTACATTGTTTTAACTGGGTGTGGGGCAGGTAGACTGAGACAGTTCTTAATTCCACTTGGGCCTCAGTTTCCTCATCTGCACAAGGAAAGCACTGGACTAAATATAAATAGCCTCTACTGTCCTGTCAAGCTCTAAATCCTATGAATGAAAATGACAATTCCTAGAAATCAAAGGCTGATAGGACCGTGTACTATAGAGACCTCTAGTGGTCAGAATCTGGTATTGAATTGCCAGTTTTGCTTCTACACCTACAGCTATCAAGACAGTGTGGGATAGTCCTAGAAGTCAGGAAAACCTGGGTTTGTGTTTGTACTGGCCATATACTGTGACCTTGGATACATTGCATAGCCTCTCAGTGTCTCCACGCACCCCTCTAACACTATAAATTACAAAAGTTACCATCCTGCATCAGTGGAGGGAGTTTCCATATGGGAATCCACTCATCAGGGAAAACACAGGTCCAGACTAGAATTTTTTAAAAAGGGTATGTTAGACATAGAACCATAGACTATTATGAGCTTAAAGGGACTTGTGATCATCTAACACAGCCCTCTCACTTTACAAATGAGGAATATGGCCTAGAGAGATTAAGTGAGAGAGCAGGTGGTAGAGTGGACAGTGTTGGACTTGGAGATGGGTATATCTGGAGTAAATCCTATCTGTGACCCTCGTACTTTGAAAAGTCTTTAACAGCTTTCCATGCTTCTCAGTGCTCCAGGCTTCTGTTGAACAGGTGCTGATCTATATTTATATCATGCTGATCTATAACAATAGAGTTACTTGACCCAATAATATTAATCAACAAGCATCATAGGTCTGGCCCTCTGTCTCCCAAGAAAATAATTACTATGACTTCTCCCCAGTTTTTTCAAGAGATGAATCAATACTTGCCTCTTTGACTTCTCTCTGTTTCTTTTCCATTCCTCTCTTTTGCAGATTCCTGTCCTGTCCAAGATATAACCTCGTTTGCTAAGTCAGTGGTTATTTTCTCACCTTCATCTTCCTTGATCTCTGTATAACATTGATGTTGATAAAACCAACCCATCCTTTAAAGTCTTGGTTCTCTGACATTGTCCTGATTCTGCAGCTCTCCTTCTCTGATTCCTCTTTTTCCCTTCAGTCCCCTAGATATAGGCATTCTTCCAAAATTCTGTTAGTGGCCTCCTTCCCTCCCTTCTACTTTCTCCTGGTGATCTTAACCAGACTGTCCCTTCAAATGTCCTCTCTTTTTGAGTGACTCCCAAATCCAAAGCTGCAGTTCTGATTTTCCTGCAGAGCTCCAAATCCTTATGGTATCTCAGGTCCCCTTCAGCCCTAAATCTGTGATCTCATGAGCCTATGTTTCAAATCGCCTGATGTTTACAGCACCATTGTTCTCTAAGTCAAGAATCCTCAGTTATCTTTGAATTCTTTGTCCCCACTCTCATCTGCCACCATCTGGTTCAATCACTGAATTCCAATGATATACCTGTCAAATCCATTCTGTGTTCCAGTTACATTGATTATTTCAGACCCTTATTCTCTCTCCTCGGGATTTTTGTTAGAGTCTATTAGTGTTCCTACTTCCTGCTTCTGTCAAATAAATTTTCCTAATGCACAGGTAATTAATAATATCAGTCTCAGTAATGATAATAATAGCATATATAAAGTGCTTTAAGTTTTGCAAAGCACTTTACATATATTATTTGATCTTCAAAACAACACTGGGAGGTTGGTGTTATTATTATCCCCACACTACGACCTTGACTTAATCCTTGAACCTCTCTGAGTCTCTATGCCTTATCAGAGACAGTTCCTATATTCCTCAAGCAGAGATAATAATACTTGCACTACTGAG